ATTGCCTGTGAAGCAAGAGAAGTGTCCAGATAAGCAATCGCAACGTCTTCTCCTCTTCCGTGCGGCCAAGCGAACTTTGCAGCAAGGCATGCAACTGCTGGGTCTGAAGCCTCTAAACCAAATGTAGTAGAAATTTTCTATATAATATAATGTAGTTTTTTTATTGAAAATTTGAGGAGTAGAAATACAGCGTCGCTTTGTAGTTCGCCGCTTAGCGCTTCTTCCACGTGTACTTGCGACGTGCGCCTTCCTGTCCGTACTTCTTGCGCTCCCGCCGGCGATAGTCACGTGTCAACAAGCCGGCTACATGGATAAATACATAGTAGATATGTAAAAGTAATTAGTGATAATTAAATGCTTTTTAGCCGGCAGTTGCACTTACCTAAACGCATTGACTCAATCATCTCTTGATCAACAAAGCTGCGCAAACTCATGGCGATGCCCCAACGAATGGCGCCCGCCTGACCGGATGGACCGCCGCCCTCCACATTGGCCTCCACATCAACTTTGCCCAGCATTTCGCTGTAGTTCAGAGGAAAGAGTAACTGCAAAAAAAAATATATATATAATAAAATGTAATCGTGTTAGAAGTCAAGTTCAGAGCGCTCGAGGCGGCTATTGTCTATATGTATGTGCATGTGGAACTGCTCAACTGGATCTACGTATTCGCTGCATTGTATTTTAGCGTATGTAAAGAAAAATAAAACTGCGAGAGTATTTCCTGCACTAAAATAACAACAATGGATATTTAGAAATAATGACAAAATCGTTACCCGAATTAAATGGCTTTGAGCCAATGCCCAAAGCTGCAACAAATTATTGCACACTCGGGTCTAAAGCAATTAACTGCCTGCATGTTTCTAATATTAGCTATCAAGAAAAGAGAAAATAATTATCTTTTAAGTGAGAGTAACCCAATACCTGTTAAATTACTCCTTAGATATTTCATAGCCTTTTAACCGAGTAGACGCCTTAGTTTTGATTGTTTACTATTTTAGCGATATTAGTATTACTGTTAGGTTTCATAATGTGTAACGTCGGCATTTTTTACCAAATAGTGTACTAGGAATTTACAATGACTTTTGTTTTATTGTAATGAACAGCCGAATCGATTTGGCGCACTGCGAAGGCCCATATTTATAAGAGCTGGAGACTTGTAGTTTAGCCGAGCTCTTCCTGCTAGATCACTTTTGCTTGTTTACGTAAGGCCTATGATTACCTCACAGTTGTGAGGTGATAATTACTGCCCTATTTGCATATTTCCATACTCTTAACAGTTCCTTTACATGTGCTGTTATTTTTCTTTAACAGTCTATTCACTGTTTTACAAAAATACAGCAAAGAAACTGGCTAAAACGTGTTATAAATTATGTATTAGGAAGCAATTAGCTACCGCATGCATACTCAAACTCAATTCGAAATATAATAATTTCATAGTATAGATCTATTAACAACTAATCCATGGTATATAAATAGGCAAATTAATACGGTCAGACGTCCGAATTAAAATTCAAGTGTGGGCCGGTTCCCAATATCTAAATAAATTTATATAATGTTAACCTCTTTTTTATTTTTTGACAATTTTATGAATGCGTGGGAAAGCAAAGTCAACGAGCTTGGATAGCGTCCACAAAAAATCCATATGGTCTACAGCACACAAACAATAAACGTTATGATTAAAAACGAATAAACAATAAAAATACATAATAAAAGACATAAACAAAGCAGAGATCACAAATTTGGCAAAAGCGGACAATGAATAAAATAAAAAAAAGAACGCGAAAAAAAAGAAAAAACCCAACAACAAAATAAACACAATCAATCATTGAAGACTTGACAAAATTTATTTTGATTTGTTTGTGTATCTTTAATTTGTTTAAACAATTTGTCATATGACTTCACGCAACAACAAATAATCCGCTTTAGCAACAATTGCGCAAAAGATTAATTATACTGTCAATTAAAGTAAGTTCCAAAATATCAAACTACTCAGCGAATAGAGAGACAGAGACAACCTCATAATAAACAGGTTACCAAAAAAAAAAATAACTAAAACAAAAAAAATAATGTCTATGTAAATATTTGAAGAGAATGAAAATTCTGGCTAGCCGGCATAAAAGACACTTTGAACCGGCGCTTAAAGAAATCTCGCGTCACATTTTATTATGATTTAAATGAATTTTATAGCTGATTCTCTGGAGGGTTCGAAAAGCTCCTCGCTTTGCGCTTTTCCCCCAAACAATGAGCGCTGTGCATAGCGCGTGTATGTGTAACTATCTGACATGATGATGATGATACTGTTGACAGCATGTGGAGCTATATGTATATGTATATAAATATAGTATATATACTAAATGTACATTCAGCCTCATTGGCGCGCGCTCACTTGTCTCAAGTTGGATATGCTCAACCACCTCCCACATTCGCATCTACAACGAAACTTGTCTTGGTCCGCATTATCATTTCGGCGCAGTTCTTTTTATCAGTCAATTCTCGCTGCTCAAGTCGCGCCTCAAGTCGCGGAAAAATTATATATCGCGAAATCGAGCACCCGATCTTCAGTGTTGTTTATACCTTTGGAAAATAGAAAATGTTGCGCCTGATGCAAGTCGAGCGGCCTTGGCCAAGCCACTTTTAAGGCAAATCAGTAAATCAATTAAAACGTGAAGAAAATTCGCAATCGTATTGAAAAACTGTATCATTTCCTTTTTTGGTAATTGACGTTAACAATATTCCTAGCTCAAAGAGATTTTGTTTTAATATTTTATATTTGCGAGCTTTACGTTCTACTCCGAGAAACTACAAAATCTTTTACCGTCAACTAATTGAATGCTGTTTTTAAGACTCACGAATGAAAGTGGATTACAGCTAATTTTACTCATACGAAAATCGTTGTCTTTATCTCGCTTCAGTATTATATTGCAGTTTTGTGTTGCAATCATCAGTTGTATTATCCTTTAATTTGGAGATATTCAATTACATCAACGCATTTGAGTGCACAGCTTGGGGGCAGCGGGGCGTCTCAGGTTCAAGGGCACTCTGAAAGCAATGCAAAAATACAGCTCATCTCGCAAACGCTATGCCTTTCCAATGGGCAAAACAACTTGCTCTTCGTAGCGCCGTAGCGCCTCCCGTGCCCCAAAGGCTTTCAACCGTACAAATTCAAATTAGTTTCAATTATAATTGAATCAACGCTAGCCGAACGAAACGAACGAAGCCGAGCCGAGCCGATTCAAATAAAGGAACGAGTAATCTACTATTAAAAGAACCGACGCGAAATGTTCGCAGGGTTGCTTTGGGGCGGCGCAGTTTTCAAAATGACGTTGCATCGTTGCAGCTAAACGGTAAATTACAAATGGCGCTTCCGGCTCAGTTCAAAGCGTTCAGTTCGCTCTCTTCTTAATGAAGAATGTGCATAATATATAAATGAATTTATATATGAATTGCAAGAAACTCTTTTTTAGAATCTTATTATAACAAGCATAGAGAAATATAAAGTTTTACTTAGATTTATAGCAAGTCATGTAAACAAATATTATTTGTTGGCGCAAAAAACTTTCAACTAGCCAATGGAATTTAAGCCTGAGAGCTGCAAACTGGTTTTTCTACTTCATCTATGGCCTCTCGTTCAGAGAACTTCATTAATTTGTGCGCATAATCATTAAAGAGGTTTTTTACGTTCCATTATCTGATTGACCACCAAATTCGCCAATAACTCAGCTCATATGTTCCGTTTGGTGCGAATGAAGAAAGTTCGTTTTATGACTTGTTTCCAGGCTGGATTTGTTCAGTTTTTTCGTAGCCTTATTTGATATATAGTATTTATTAAACAGGTTTGAAATTCACAGAAATGTTTCAAAAAGATGGAATAATAACTTAGAATTTAATTAGTTAACCAACAGACAACGGTGTTATATTCAAATGACTGACTTTTAACTGTTTTTTTTCCTTGCAATTACAAAGCGAAAACTCATTAAACGGTTTCACGTAATTGTCTTTGAAAAGTTTTTACATCAGCAACGATTAAATTGCGCAATGGGTAGAGAGCTGTGAGCTGCAAGTGCTATTAAACAAGCAAATAAATTAAATAGAATAAATCACCGCACAATGAACATGTCTAAATAAAAACTAAATGAGCTTTACTTAGGCGTGCCTAAATAGTCCCAGTTCCTTGACACTTCAGATGCTCAAGCCAAGTTTCCCTTCTAAAGAGTAGTTAAATTTTAATTTACTGTTTCGCTATATATAGACTTGAGCTAGAGAACACAAATTACGTTTCACACCGAATCGTACCTGAAGCACAGCCGAATGATATTTAATGGAATTTACTCAAAAAATGAACGTTGACATAAATTGTAAATAATGTGAGCAAACAAAATGAGGATAGAAATAAACGGAGAAGCAATCATTTCGTAGAGTACACAATACGAAGGGAGATGTGGGAGTAGAGAACTTGTGTTATGACATTTCTAGAGAGGATAGAGCAACTCACCATATATTAGTAAAATGTTACTCTAAGACTTACTTAGATATAGCTTCTGGATAACAGTTCAAGTCTCTTGAGAAATCGAAGTTAAGAGTATAAATATTTTAGTCGTCAGCTATGGAGGACTCATAGATCAGGTATAGCAGGATTAGCCTCAAAGTGCAATTCAAGATTATGGTAAACCAGACGAGTCGAAAATTTTCAACATTGGATTGTAAAGACTCTTTTAAAGTCTATTCAACAGCTGGTTTTTATTCTGTTCAAAATATAAAAGCTTCCACAAGACATTGAACTAGACCCTATGAGAAACCCCGCCCCTGTTCCGTTTAGTTCATATAAACAGTAGCGCCAACTGATAAATCTCAACCCGATAACAATAAAAACCAAAAGTTGCTTTGTGCCCCATGATGCTGATGATTCTGTTTATATGGTCGGCCTTATCGCTGCGTCAAACGAGATGAATGCTTAGATAAGTCCCAGTTGAGATTGTCGCATTCGGGGTGCGCAGAAATCTATAACGAGTCCAAAAGGAAAACGATCGCAGGGAAAGTCAGAAGCAGCACAAAGTGACGCCAGAGTTAATATTTGATTAGCGTTTGTGCAGATTATGCGTTTGGGCTGGCAACGAAAGTAAACGCGAATTAATAGTGATCCAGTTTCGCATGGGATCACACACAAATCAAGGTGCAAATAACTCTCAGCTAAGACTCAAATAACATAAACATTCTCCTCTTATTGCTTTATTGCAGCTGAATCGAATCCAAACAAGAGCTTAATCAAAACTCAATATCAGCCAGTGTCCAATATCAAGAAACTGGTCTATAAATTTTTGCTGCTGATATTGGAAAGTTTTCGGTTGGATTATTTGCAACGTGCGCAAGTGCAGCAAGCCAGACGATTGGGTTTTTGAATATCTACGCATATTTGCGCATTTTAATTGCAAACAGCAACAACAACAACAACAGTGAAGAGAGCAACTGCAGTAGCAACAACTCCAACTGCAAGTGGAACGAGAGAAGCCAGCTAGCAAGGTCTGTTCGTTGCTTTCGTGGTCACCATGGAGAATCTGGGCTACAAGGAGGGCAGTACGAAGCCGCGTCGTATGACACGTTCGATCAGCGTCGTAACCAAGACCGAAGTGGAGCAGCCGCTCAATGAAAATAATGCGAATAACCGGTAAGTGCCAGTTGTGCCCCAGAGGCCAGCATTTAGCCCATTCGGTTATTTTACCCAAAACGTGTGCATAACGAAGATAAACGCCCCTCATAAAATAAAAGCCCAAAATCGAAAGTGAGAGTGAAGGAAAAAAACATGACAGGATCACTTTTGGGTGGGGCCCAGACAACGACGATAAATATACGAGTTTACAGTTAGCCGGTGCAGGTTCGAGAAGAATTTAACCATTCAACAATGACAGCAAATAGCTCTCTAGATCATCATCTACATTATTCCCACGCTTGCGAGCTCATGAAAATCACATCACATTAAAATTGAGATTGCGCATCGCTGGCGAACAGCAGCGATCTTATAATTGGTAAAATAAATTAAATTAGCATCAATTGTCAAAGGTACCATTCGAAGTTGGCCGAAGCTTTAAGTTTGCATAATCAATATTGTTTTTTTTTTTTTGTTATTATATAAAGGCTCAAGGTGTTTTTACACCTGATTAAACAAAGCAAATATGAATTACTGCGTAGAGCATTGATTAGTCAAAGAAATCCCACCTGCAAGTTTTTCTTTTAGTCTCTTCTATAACTCAATCTCATCAAATTGCTATGGTGCCAGCCGCTGTCGCAGACTGTGTAACATTCCAGTCTTCGCGCTGCTGTCTCAGTCACTCCAACCCAGTCCAACTCCCACTCCCGCTCGTCTCTCTCGCTTTTTCGTGGAAGCTAGTTTTGATGTGTATTTTTTTTTTTGTTTTTGCTTTTTTGGCAATCGCTCTCGCAGCTCTTTACTCTCTCACCAATGTGTTTGTGTGTGTGTGTGTGTAAGTGTGCGTGTGTGTATTTGGCATTTCAAGCCCGATCGACTAGCTGGCACTGAGCGCTGCTTAACGCTTTCCATCAGTCGGAATTGAAACAACAATGCAGGCGGTCGCGTTTTAGTCGCTGGCTAAAAAAAAACATATTCGACAAAAACGCGTTTGCAGTTCGTAGTTCGTCAGTCATAATAAAAACAACAGCTAGAGCAAAAACAACAATAACAACAACAACAGCGCCAACGAAACGGAAGTGAAAAATTCGCGTTTTCACACAACATTTTTGCATTTTTCCGCCCGTTAGACACAAATTATACAAGCGGCACAAAAGGCAACCATTGTTAGCCACTTGGCCCGTCTCTGGCTGTCTTATTGTCTGCCTGTCTATCGGATCGGTCTGTAGATGGGTCACTCAGTCAGTGGACAGCCCGGGCTCTCCTATGTGTGTGTAACCGTGCGATCGCATTTTGGAAATGAAATTAGAAATTGAAAATAGTTCATTAGCGAATTGGCATCATCCGTGGACATGGCTGCAAACGGTGTACGTACACACACACACACACACACTCGCACACACATGAATACACCCACACACACTCTCACACATAAGCAGCTAAGTGCAGAACAATGACGGACTTAGAATATGCGTCCCTGGATTCAATGTGATTGCTACCTGAAATTATGCAAATCTGCATTCGAAATTATCTACAGCAACTGCAATTGGAATCGCGATAAATCGCAACAGTCTAAACCGGCGGCAATTGCTGCAGCTGTGCTGCAGTTCCTGGCAAGCGTGGAAAACATTTAACATAGTGCATTAATTATGCATACATATACATAAATACAGCAAAATATTACATGTATAAATAGTAGTTAGTATATGCTAACTCCGCGCTTTTGCATAACTTAACATATTTATTATGCTGATAAACCGCTTCTCCTCCATTGTGCATGCCTCAGTCAGCAAACGTGCAGCGGTCGCACATTCAGTGTCATTCAAAACAATAATAAAAACAAAATAAGAAATATGTGAAAAATGTCTAAACAAATAAAAACAAACAAATTTCAGAAAACTGAGCATGATAACGAAACTTCAATACACTTGCAAATAAACTGATTTAGTTCTCAAAGAGTTAATAAATTTAGGAGAATATTGAAATTGTGAAAAAAAAAATATTAAAAATACTGTGCTCAAGTTGGGGCTGGCTTGTACTTAATTGCAGTCAGACTTTCTCTGTTTAATATTCAGACCAAAACTTACATCTATATACAATATATACTATATACAAAAAAAAAAAAAAAAAAAAAAAAAGATGCGCAAATATGATAAAACATATTTAAAGAGCTATATCCGAAAAAAAAAATTAAATTGTTAAATCATAATTGAATTCAGAGAAAATTGAATATTATTGCTTTTGCTTGAGTTTAATAGCAGTGTCAAAATTAAATTTTACATTAATTTTCCTTTCATATTGATAGTATGGGTTATAGCTCTTTAACGACCTTCGAGCTCTTTCTCGATTCCACGTCCCGCATTCCCTAAAGTTTGCTAGCTGTATTTCATTTCATACATCATTTCCGCATTACCATTCTCTCTAAACTACTCAAAAATATTAGAGGGTATTTCGAAATCGGAAAATAAACAGGATAAACAGATCAGCTTTTTTATATGTTCTGAGGATGGGAAACACAATTAGAATGATTCACATCATCCTCTCTAATTTAAGGCGTAAATGCTATTATATGATTCAAGAAGTTAGCCTGTGAATGCTTGATTTGCAAAGTACATTAAAGTCTGTTATACTCATTTAATAGATGAATAACAAAAAAGAAAAAAGAAAAAAGACAGCAACAACTAATAATAATAAGAATTCTTCTCGTTGTACTTGAAATAGTTTCAAATCGATTCCACCCAATCTAATGGTGCGATGGCGCAATAACACTGACGCCATGATCGAAGCTCAGTATCCGACAACTGGTGAATTTGAATACATGGAGTGTGGACCATCGCCGCCGGCGGAGAGTGCGCCGAGCATGTACGATAGCTTTGAGGAGCCAACTAGCGAGCTGAGCGTGCAGATCTGCAATGACACGCTGAGGATTAGTCTGATCGATCAGATGAAGAGTGCCGCTGGCCGGGTGCGTTTGTTTGAGGACATCGAACAGGGTAATGTGGTGGCCGAGAGCATCGGCGCACATTTCGAAACAGCTTCCAAGCTCGAGAAGAATCTGTGTTACTTGTGGGCGGCTTTTCTCAAGCGCTGGGATCTGCTCGAGGGTCTCTTAAAGGCTGGCGCCGATCTGCACTTTTATGACCAGAACGGAATTTCAGCATTGCATTTGAGTGCGTTCAGTGGATGTTTGGCCACACTGAATCTTCTCGTGGCCAAGGGCATCAATGTCAACTTGCAGCCCAAGTGCTACACTCCACTGCACTGCGCCGCGTTCGGCAATGCCGTTGAGGCAGCCAAGTTCCTCATCAACAGTGGAGCCCTCATCACCAAAGACACCAACAAGCCCAACTGCGAGGAGAGTCTGCTCCACTGCGCCGTTCGCTCCAATGCACTTGAGTGCTTGCAGCTGTTCATTGGCGAGGGAGCCGACGTCAATTCGCTGAAGCCCAATGGCACCAACGCCATACACCTGGCCGCAGATCTGGGCCACCTGCAGTGCTTGGAGGCGCTGCTGAATGCACCCAATGCCGACGCCAATGTCCGCATCTGCATTCGCGAAAAGGAGTCGACCGCTCTGCATCTGGCAGCCGATGAGGGCAACGTGGAGTGTGTCGATTTGTTGCTCTCCAAAGGTGCTGATGCCAAGCTAAAAAATCATCGCGGCTTCACCCCACTCCATCTGGCTGCGCGAACTTCTAGCCTGGAGTGCGTGGAGTCGCTGCTGCGCAATGGCAATGCGGACGCAAACGCTGAGGACTTTGATCATAGGACGCCGCTGCATGCGGCCGTTGGCAAGTCCGAGAATGCCTATGATATCATGGAGACACTCATCCAGTGGGGCGCCAATGTCAACCATAAGGATATCTATGGCTTCACCGCTCTCCACTTGGCCGCCCTCGACGGACTCGTCCAGTGCGTCGAGATGCTCATTTACCATGGCGCCGATGTCACAACGAAATCTAAGAAGGGCACATCTGCTTTAAACGTCATCACGCGGAAGACACCCGCCTCGGTGGCTATGATTCGTCAGAAACTTGATGCGGCCATTACCCTGCATCATTCACAGGTGAGTAGATTTACAATGGAAGATCCCAACTGCTAATCATTTATTTGTTGTTGTGCCTGAACAGGATCCCGTCAATCGTGAGGTGGAGCTGGAGCTGGACTTTCGCCAGCTGCTGCAGCATTGTCATCCACGCGAAATCAGCTACTTGAACACATTCGTGGATGAGGGGCAGAAGGAGATACTGGAGCATCCGCTATGCTCCTCCTTTCTGTACATCAAGTGGGGCAAAATACGAAAGTACTACATCGGACGCCTGATCTTCTGCTTCAGCTTTGTGCTCTTCTTGACGCTCTACGTGCTGACTGCACTGGCGCACAACTGTTACAACGGCAGCAAGGACGACAACACGACGATCCAGGCGCAGGAGCTCTGCCAGAAGCAGTCCATACTGGGCGATATGCTGCGCAATAATCCGTTTGTCATGGAAATGCAGTGGTGGGTGCTCGTGGCGATTACAATAGTTGAGATATTTCGAAAGCTCTACGGGATTACGGGCTACTCCTCGTTTCGACACTATGTGACGCAAGTGGAGAACATTATGGAGTGGTTTGTCATCACCAGCGTCTTCGTCATCTCTTACATCTACACGAAACAGACGTACACCTTCCAGAATCACATTGGCGCATTTGCCGTACTGCTCGGCTGGACCAATTTGATGCTGATGATTGGGCAGCTGCCCGTGTTCGATGTCTACGTGGCCATGTATACGCGGGTGCAGGGCGAGTTCGCCAAGCTATTCATGGCCTATTCGTGCATGCTGATTGGATTCACAATTAGTTTTTGCGTTATCTTTCCATCGTCGTCGTCATTCGCCAACCCGTTTATGGGATTTATCACAGTGCTGGTGATGATGATTGGGGAACAAGATCTGTCGCTATTAATCAACGATCCGGACGGCAAGGATCCGCCCTTTCTGCTGGAGGTCAGCGCTCAGATTACGTTCGTGCTCTTTCTGCTGTTCGTGACGATCATTCTGATGAATTTGCTGGTGGGCATTGCGGTGCACGACATACAAGGCCTCAAGAAGACAGCCGGACTCTCGAAACTGGTGCGACAAACGAAGCTCATTAGCTACATTGAGTCGGCATTGTTTAATGGCTATTTGCCCACATGGTTGCGAAACCTGCTCCACTATACAGCGCTCGTCTCACCGCAGGCCTATCGCGTGGTGCTGTGCGTGAAGCCCTTGAATCCCAGCGAAAAGCGATTGCCGCGCGACATACTTATGAAGGCCTACGAGGTGGGCAAAATGCGTAAGCACTTTGGTCACACAATCTCCTCCAAAAATCCGGCCGAAAATTATCTATCATACAAAAACAAGTACAACAACAGCGGCTGTGTGAACACAGCGTACGTGTTGCCCGATCCTGATCCCGAATCCACACAACTAACAGCGCTGACCAGTAAAATTGACGACAATGCGGATCGCATTGAGTTTCTCACGCAGGAGATTCAAGAATTGAAGCAGGTGCTCATATCGCAGCAGCAGCAGGCCAGCAAAGTRATTGACAAGCTGCTGATCGTCATCTCCAACCAACAGAAACAACAACTCCGTAAATAACTGCTGCATGATGCCATTYACTATTATTGCTATTATTATTATCTTTTCTAAACATACGAATCATAAAATTCTTAGCCCGTAGACACTTCTTGAGTGTGTAAACCATTGCGCCCAAGAGCCCGAAAATTGTTGATATTATATTGTAGTTAGCGTATTGATTACTGCAGCGTCTAACGCTCTACCTAATAATGCTATTTAGCTCTATACTATACAATATATGTATTTAACCTACAATATATATACAGATATATAAATAAAAGCTAGTTGATAGGTCTTAGAGGTGAGAAGCTGGCAGGTTTGTTTTTGTCTGTGTCTGGTTTTAGGCTGTGTCTTTATTGTTTGGCGTTGTCGTAAGAAGAGCGTTTAAATAATGAATAATTCTGAAAGTTATATATTTTTTAATATTAATAATAAAATATCGATACATCTATTGTATTAAATATCTCTCGGACTAAATTTTGATTTGTTTCTATGGAAGGACAGACTGTTGCGAATTAAGAATATGTGGATTTCCAATCAATATTACAGCTGCCCCATATAAATTATTAGCTAAATATACTAAAACCGAATAAGCTTCGAGCTCCCTTGACTAATTTGATTATTCGGTGCTAAGACAAACAGTTTCTACGGTTTCAAGAAGTATAATTGCAAATTGGACTTACCTGTTCCTTGCACTCTTCACTACTGAAGTACGAGATATCCTGGCCATTGATAGTTATTTTTCCTGTGCCGGGCAGACGGACAGTGACGTCGGCACGCGCCGTTTTGCGCAGGCACTCGTAGGTCGTTATGTACTGGCGACCCTGGTCATCGATCTTTGGCTTGGGCACCTCCAGTTGCTTTGATTGATCAATCAGGGGTTTTAAATAGCGCTCAATAAATGCTTTGCTTTTGTACGAATATGGTAAGGAAATTAAACGATCCATGGCATTAGTAAAGTTCTGGTATTCAATGTCCGCAATGTGCTCGACAAGCACTCGCTCCAGTTGATCCTTCGGCAGTAGCTGAAAGCCAGCCGTTTCGCTTTGAAAATAAGGTTTACGTGAGGTTCAAGTGTTGTGTATGAATTAATTATTGTTACTTACAGCTTTTGGTTTTCATCTGGCTTGTTTCCACGCCTCAACATGCGCTCTTCAAGGTCATACAGCTTGTTCGTTTCCTCAACAATGTCCTATAAAAGAGTATTGCCTGAGGTTAGCATATTTTTATAATAAACAAACTAAGACGTACGTGTAGCAGCTGGAAAAAGTTCGGCTTGCCCGTGTAGAACATGCTGTGAAAGGGGCGACCCGTCTCATCGAATTCGGCTGCCTTACGTGCTGGAAATACTTCTTCAGGCGATCGCATGGCGGGACGCGCACGCTTGTCAAACAGACCGGAGGGAAAGAGATACGCGATGGCTTCCTGAAAGCGATATTTTGTTATTAACTGCAACTCATCTGTTAATTAATATATGTACTCACATCAATGTCTTCTTGTGTAAAGGTTTCTGCGTCAGCGCCCATCATATTTGCCAAATGCCGTTTCCCAATTTGAAACTCCAAGTCTTGAGTTTTCATAAAGTCGTCGTGCTCCTTAGCCCGCTCCAGATAGGCTTTCATGGCTTTGCTCACCTTTTGCTTTTGCACAGCAGCCGGTGTGGCCTGGACAGTCACCTGTGTAGCGTACGGCGCCAGCGCTAGCTGAAATGTTATGCAAACGAACAAGCGAGTTGTTGATTCAACCTAAATTGATGCAATTGTAAATTTTAGGGGAAGGATTCGCTTACCGCTTGGACACCGGGTCCTTTACTGTTTCTAACAGCATTCTGAATGAAATTTCTGTTATTTTTTAATAAGTTTACACTTAAAACACGCAGCGACATTATTTTTGTCTTAGCGCACGGTAAGGCAGGAAGAGGAAGACACAAATCAGCTGTTTTGCACCATCTGTGTTGAGAAGTGGCCCAAAAAAACGGTTGGCAGCACTAAAATTTCAATTGAATATGCGCCAAATTTAAAACAAAAACAAAAACATTTTTCGGCATAAGTAATTATAGTATTAATATAAAAAACAATCAAAATCTTATCAACATGAAATTACTCGTATTAAGATATTCAGAGTGCATTTGAAAGATAAATTTAAATGGGTTTTTAATTACAGATGCATAAATAGACATCTAAAAAAAAACAAAACAGTTTTTACTTCAATATACATAGTTATTATTGCACTTGATTATCTTTCACACGTGTTTGCTGTAATTCATTTGGCGTTATAGTGTAAGTAAAAATCATTAATTTACCATTGTCCTTACAAATGTTTTTTATTGACTAATTTGAAAAACACAATTTCAATGCTGATATTTTTAACTATGGAAAGTAAACACAAAACGAAAAAATAATGCAATGAGAACTTTTTCAACAGCTAATTACTTGTTTGTACGCTATATATATTTAATTATAAATAATTGCCTAAGCTTAGAGAAAAAAATTGTTATCAATTGCATTATTAGGTAAAATGCAGCTACTACAATTTGTTCTCTGCCGTCTACTCCACATTTCTTCTTGTTATTATTTTTGGTCGTAGTACAATTTATATAAAGCAATTACATATTCATAATAGGGCCACTTCTATTTCCACGCCTGTTTGAGCAGCTTACGAGACGCTAAATGCCTAACGATCAAAGAACCCGAAGTTAGCACGACCAGTACTATAGAAATTAATATATAGTCGAAATCCTCCTTCAATAAATCAAACGTTTTTGAAGGCGCAACACGCGTAACAAATATATCTAAGCCCGTGGCTACGACTAGACAGGTACTCTCCAAGCCGCTGGGAGCGGTATAGATATTACGCAAACGTGCAACTGTTTGATTATAGTTGATGTAATTCTCAGTTGGCAAAGGCAGCTCAGGTATATAGGGAATGGCACCTTCTTCACGTCCCTGAGTTGTGGATGATATTGGACGACGTGGATCCAGCAAATGCCAGGGCATTTCTACAATGCCACCACTAGCAGTACCAACTATATGAGTACATAAAATATAATTGAATGAAATATTCTGATATAGATAATAAAATAAAATGCCGTCTTACTTAGGACATGCTTGTTGGTGATGCCACGTTCGGTGATTGTCTCGCGCATGGCTTCCACTATTGTGGGTATGATATAAGACTGACGCTCCACGAGCGGCATGGACGGTGCCTGCAAGGAACTCCAAACGCTGTTGTTGGCCTGCGCACTGCCCTCATATAGTTCAATAGTAGCTGTAGTAAAAAAGCAATATTTTCAATAAGCCTATGACAATCATTTCGCATTAGTATGCCTTACTGATTTCAGTGCGTCGCACTTTGTCGTTGAAGTAAGAGTAGGCTAGCCAGTTCTCGGAGTGCACAATGTGCAGCGGCGCGCGCACCTTCCGATGCGTCATCGAGAAGATGACTGATCCGGACACAACATCAATTAAATACATATTGAGCACAGCTGTATATAAAGAAAAATAATTAAAATTGAGTTATTTTTCGCTTGAGCTGACCTACATTTGTGAGTGGCATCTGGAGCCTGTGTAACGAAGGCAACTAGGTTAGGATTAATGTACTTATAGAGCACTGAACGATCGCCCAGTACACGGCCCTGGGAGTGCACGTGCTCAATAGGATTTTTGCTAGCAACGCTTATGATTTGTTGTTCCGAATTGTGACCGCCCAGACGAACATTCCAAATCGGTAAAGCTGACAGCTCCTAGAGGAATAGAAGTTAATGAGTATCTAACACGCCAGTATCGTTTTTTTTTTTTTTTTACTTACACCGCCCGCATATTTCACATAGTAGCCCTCGAGCTCAGCAGTTTTTAAATCAGCCGTGTACAAATACAAACCATGCGCCTGTAATGATTAAGATGAATGCGGGTTAAGTCACATTCAGAGCATGTTAAATTTGTATTTACCAATGGCGTCGCATGTTTAGGCTCCACATGAACTTTATTGGCGCCATCCAATATTAAAACACCTTTAACATAATCTTCCTCTGTTTCGGGTAGCAGTGCCAACTGCTTGATTTTATAGTTTAGTTGGAGTAGCCCACCCTCGGAAGCCTGTCCTGTGATGGGATTAAACCGAAACAATACACCATTGCCATTTTCCTAAAAGGAGGTTACAATTAATATGTTTCTCGAAAAATGTAAAATGTACATTTAAACTCACTACAGATTTAGCTACAATAGCGCACAGAGGCTGCAAGGGGAAGTGCTTGGAGCTTCGCTGCACAATCAGACGCATCTGCTCGGAATTTTCGAAGCCCGCCACATTGGGTAAATAGAGTTGCCAGTGATGTTTGCCGGCTATATTGTCAATGCCAAAGATTTTTCCTGAGCGTGTCAGCAATACCAGCATCTTATGCAGTCCAAAGGAATCGCGGACAAGTCCAGCACGTTGCGTGTCCGTTGGTGGAGGACCCAGCCCAATGACATGCAAGAATAGGCTCTTAATTTGTATCGCTTGTGTGGTAATGCGACGCATAAAAGCAGTGGCAATGTCACCTAGGGTATCAAGAAAATAACTTTAGCAAAATCATATATATTTTAAATATATTCAAGACACATGAATGGGTGTGCTAGTAATGTGAAGCACAGTTAAGACTTGAGCAACTTACGCTTTAAATTGTTTGAATCCACTTTGGCAAGCATTGATAAAATATATGAATCGTATTTTGTTTAATGACAGCGAAAGACTAGAGGCTTACCTGCTTTGCCCTTCATTTCATTTTCCAGCGTTCCTTCCGAATCCGCTAAGGGTAAGTCTAGGAACTGCGTATCAATAACATTCGCCAAGGATTCCTCACGCGCCCAACGTACACGTCCTTGTTGTACAGCAACAATGGACTCGGCGCTGGTGGAAAGCAGAAACAGACAATTTTTTCCATCGCTATTGCGAGTGGATTTACAGTCAAATGATCGAAGACTAGGAGATCCATAGTGGTCAGCAAATGCTACACTTAAATGCAGTTCAGGCACGGGACTGCAGTCGTCCAAATAAACGGCATTAATATTAAGCATCTAAAAAAAAGCCCAATTTATAAAAACCTTGAAGATTTTTTTGTTGTCTAAATGTTACTTACATTATTTATCAAATCGGCATAGGCAATAACTTTGCGCCTGTTAAAGCTGCCGACAATAAAGCTATCGCTTGAAAGATCTGGACACACAGCCTGATCCTTGTTAACACTGACGAGTTTTTTATCTACAATCAACGCACCATTTAAGCCCTGCAAATATATTGTTTTAAATAATTCAGGTTTATTTATTTTACTAAAACTTACCGGTAAATCCTGGATTTTGCTGCTCGGTTCGGATCCCAGAGATGTGGCAATCACTTGCGTGCTCTTGGCTAATAAATCCAAGCTGATGAGCTGCTTGCCATCCAGGCAAACATAAAACGAGCCACTGAGCAAACAACTCTCTGGATTTATCCAAGCAGCCATAATCTTGCTTGTGCTGCCTGTTGTGTGTCCGGACGTCGCAAAATATGAGGTGACCTCAATGTGACTACGCCATGCAGGCACCACATGATACAGCACAGAATTACTGTAGAACCAGACGGCGTCCTGTGCCCTCTCTGTATTCAACGGCATTATGGACCATTCCCATTCGATTGTGCCAATATTCGTATTCCAGCCTCGCACAAGCGCTGGTGCGTGGCCCTGCACGGTCATCATGTCAAAGCCCAAATGCGAGCCCATGGGGGCAGCCGCCGTGTCACTGCTATCGTCAGCGAAACCGCTTACCTGTAGCAGCTTTATATCACCTCGCGGCTTCTTCTCTAACACCTGTCGCCAGATAATCTCACCGGTCTTTGGGCATAATGATCCAATCACTTGCTCGTGTGTACTTAATAGCACACGCGGCTGAAAATGGTTAAGATCCACGTAAGCATGCTTTAGACTGCCCACATGCACGCTTCTCCTGTTTATGGGCAAAATCTTAGTCAATGGTCAATGTTCAATATTTGTGTCACTTGCCAGTCGAATTTTTTAATCTGGTCCTCGTACAGCCCAGAGCAGGTGCTCAACAGCAGCAGCAACGAGAGCAAAGAAATTAGCGTACCGGCTGAAGACTTTAGGAAATCCATTTGCGTGCGGTTCGCTGTGAAACCTCCTTTAAAATGTATTAGGCACGAATTGTGCAGTGACCGACACGTTTTTAAGTTATAAATTAATGAAAACGTCAGTAATTTGTGTTTTCCGTCATAGTAAAAGGGGGATGAGACGACAATTTTTACAGGGCTGCAATTATCTACTTGTATCGTTATCAATAGTTGTTACAGACGTTGCTCAGCACTGGTTTGTGCTATCGGAAATCGGTGTGCATATATAGTTACTCGGACAAAAACTTAAAACATTGTACATTTCACAAAAAACTATTTTTCGTTATCCCTATTCCCTATTTATTTTCCGGCTGTAGTATGCTTGAGCGTTGACCAAACAAAGTACGAAAAAATACCGTAGGGTTTTCCCGTTATGTTTATTTTTGAAGCTGAAGTTGAGTTTTTCAGTGCAAAATGTTGCTGGGACAATTTAGTTTGAATTCATTTGTGGTGTTTAAACTATAAAATTAAATAAAAGTGAGTTTTGACTGAATTTAGTAACTGAAGCATTTTTAGTTGATTTATTTTTTTTAAAGAAATGCCTAAATCTGTCCGTTTATCTGATGAAGAGCGTAGTAGAATTGTGGCACTGTGATATGGGGATTTTCATCCGCAAAATTGCAGAGGATATTGGCAGAAATAAAAATACTGTAGAAAGTTTACTCAAAGATCCAGAAAATCATGGAAAAAGGCTCCGCTCGGGTCGTCGTGGTTGACAACAGAGAAGAATAAAAAATCTAGCGGTTAAAGAAAATATCAGTGCATCTCAGATACGTTCTGTTCTATGGTTAGGGGTTCTTTTTGTCTCTGCCGATGTCCACGAGACGTGTACAACAAATTTTGAAGAGCTCGGAAAAGGTTTCATATGAAACCGGAGCTATTGCCAAGGCCAACAAATACAAATTATGGGACACTGAGTGGAGAAATATAATTTTTAGTGATAAGAAAAAGTTCAATTTAGATGGTCCTGATGGCTACCAACGTTATTATCGCGATGTGCGAGCCCCAAAAAAATCCCCAAAAAATCCACGTATGCAGAAATGTTCATGGAGGGTCTATAATTATATGGGCTGCTATAATGGAAAGACTTCAATATGTTTTATAACGCATAGATATAACGCATGCACAAAATTATGTTGCTAGAATCTGTTTTAGTGCTACTTGGAGAGGATTATTACGGTGACCATTGGATTTTCCAGCAGGAAAATGAAATTTGAGCGCGTCGATTTCAGAAGATATAAGAGCTAGAAACGTGAAATTTTTTTAAATGCCCGTTTATAGCGCGGATATGGAATTTATCGCCAAGCATCGATAACTTATCCCGGTATTTTTATCGATTTAAAACCCTATCGAAAATCGGCTATGAAATTATATCTCCTACATCTTTAGAGCTAGAGTCGTCAAATTTTAAATGTAGGTTCATGTGTATTTAATATAAATTCGATTTTTGGTATAATACATATATACAATAGGATTATAAAATATGCATATGAAATATATGAATATTAAAAAAATCAAGTACAAGATTGAGAAACTGGAAGTCTTGAATTTAATCAACGGAATCAGCGATACTTGACGTTATATAGAGTTTCAATGTTACCGCCAACATCAAAGATCATATCTGTTTTTATCTGTGCTGATCCAGATTTGCACCGATGCGTGGAATTTGCAGAGCACCTTGATTTGAATTATAAAGTTGCAGTCGATATTCTTGTGCTAAATGTCTTTTATTATTGGCATTCATAATTTATGAAGCTAAACAATAAATGGTAACAATGTATAATAATTGGCCATTCGGTGGCAATATTGGTGGCTATTCCTTTTGTACAATAATTGTCATATTTGTAGGGAAAAAGTGCTTTTCACTGAAAAGCTACTACATACGTATGTCTAATTTAGTATAAAATGTATAATTTGAGCTTAATAATTACTATATAGAAAATGGAGAAAATTGAAATGGATACGTGCTTCACAAGTGAGGCGTTAAATGCAACTACATATTTTGTGACAGTAATATTGAGCGCTCGTTGGCTTTATACTGCAAAGTTTTCATTTTTTTATACTGGGAATGTTCACCAGCTCAGCTCGTCAGGCAATCCGCCAGGATATTCGCCAGTTAGGCAGGCAGTGCAATGACCTGTTGGCTTGCCAGATGCCACATGCTTGCGCTGAACTGTCTGGACCAAGCCAGCTACACTCAGGTAGGCCAGACTGTCGGCGCCCACATGACGGGCCAGTTGCTTGGCGTTTAACTTGTTGGCGATAAGCTCTTCGCGCGTGGGTATGTTGATGCCCATGTAGCAGGGATATTGGAGCGGGGGGCTGGCTATGCGAATGTGCACCTCCAAAGCCCCAGCGTCACGCAGCAGCTTGATAATGGGGCCGATTGTATTGCCGCGCACAATTGAGTCGTCTATTAGTACCAGTCGCTTGCCGGCTACATTCTCAGACAGTGCTCCAAATTTCTTGGCAACGCCCAGCTGCCGCAAGCGAGTCGAGGGTTGAATGAACGTGCGTCCCACATAGCGGTTTCGACACAGAACCTCAGCAAACTCCAGATTAGACTCCCGGGCATAACCATGAGCTGCCGCAGTCCCTGACTCTGGCACTGAGCTCACAATATCAGCATCAACTGGTGCCTCGCGCCAGAGCTGACGTCCGCACTCCAAGCGGACCGAGTACACCATTTGTCCCTCAAAGATGCTGTCGCTTCGGGCGAAGTAGACGTACTCGAAGATGCAAAAGGCCATTCGCTTAAAATCTGGACGCTCCACAATGTCCACGGTCCGATAGCCCTTGCGCGTCAGCTCCACAATTTCGCCGGGCTCCACTTCACGCTCATAGCGGGCGCCAATAGACAAGAAGCCGCAGCTCTCGCTTGACACCACCCAACCATCAGCTGGAGTTTCAGTGCTGTTGCCCGCATGGCCAGAGTTAATGGGTACAATTTTGCCAATGCATAGCGGCCGATTTCCATACGTATCTCGTACGGCATAGATCTTGTCCTTCAGCATAATGACCAGCGAATAGGACAATGGGGCAAACATCATAAAGTGCCTGATGCGTGCCGGCCAGTTGGGTCCGTCATGCTCAGACACGCCCTCCGGCGCGCAGCATAGAGATTGAGCTATCAATTCACTATCACTGTGTGTGGACAAGCCGACACCACGACCCAACACTTCGCGGCGCAGAGATTCATTGTTGACCAGCTCGCCGTTGTGGGCCAGCGCCATGGCGCCATGTGCCGTATGCACGACAAATGGCTGACAGTTGACCACTTCCGATGCACCAGCAGTGGAGTAGCGTGTATGGCCAATGCCCAAGTTGCCTCGCAGCTTCTTCATCGAGTCGTCGTTAAACAGGGTGCTGATCATGCCCATGCCCTTGTGAACATTGAAGTTCTTGGAGCATTTTCCCTCGCTTGTTGCTATGCCAGCCGACTCCTGTCCACGATGCTGCAGAGCTACTAAGCCCAAACATATTACGTGAGCAATATCTATCTGGGTGGGCCAGTCGCCACAGGCGATCGCACCAAAGACTCCGCATTCATGCGTTAAACCGGTTAATTCCTTACTTTCAGCAATGGACAGCGTTGCAGCCGACGACGTAGCCACCACCTGTTGATCATGACCCTCAATGCGCACATGCTGCTGCTGTTGTTGCTGCGGCGTCGACACGTTGTTGCTGCTTAACATGTTGTTGAACTGCTTATCACAGTGTGGAATGAAGTGATTGTTAACCAGCTTAGCTAATGCAAGACTTTGATCTGCTTTACCTGTTGATTTATGCAATGGTTTTATATACATAAATCTTCGCGACAAAAACTTACCGCGATCATTGACATAAGCCTAAGATCGATGACACTATCGATAGCGGTTACATCTATAATATCGATATTTCCAATTGGTCTCATATGACCTGTAAGTCAGTAAGTAATAACGGATAGTTTCAGTTTAAATGCTTTTTAACAGAAATTTATTGAATCGGTATTTATAATACAAATAATGTTAACACAAATTAAAATTGTATTAAAACAGTTCTATTTACATTGAAAAATCATAAAATAGTTTTAATGTTTGTTGAGTGGCTAATCACATATTCAAAAATTATCTATCATAGGGAATTTAGTAGTCAAGTACATCCACTTAAGTTTTTCGACGTGCCTCACCAAATTAATCAATCAAGCTTCATCATAGAAATAATTTTATTTAATTCAAAATCTAAATTTCTTTTAAGTACCTTCTACTTGCTATCAAGTACGTGAATCTTGGAACTTTGCGTATTTTAAGTACCTGAATGATAAGCTTTAATCAACTTGTCGATCGAAATCAATGAAGGGAGTTTTAATGTTTCGTTGAAAAGAAAGGAGCATGTTGTAGTTTCTGATTTTCCGCCTCGTCGAGTAATGTTTTTGCTGCTTCTATATCCGACTTTATAGCCTTGATTAAGTCATCTAGAGACTTGAAGTTTTGTTCGGGTCTCAGATAGCCAACAATGCAGATCCTTAATGTTCGACCATACAAATCACAATCGAATTTATGCATAATGTGCGTTTCTAAACTCTTTTCTTTGTTGTTGTAGAAAGGATTCCATCCCACGCTTAGTACCATTTTGTACACTTCGCTATCATTTACTTTTGCCCACCCATAATAAACTCCTGTTTGCAGGGATTCGGGTAGAGACTTCACCACATCCAGTGAAAAGTTTGCTATCAATACAGATCGTACATTAATGTGAATCATTATGTGATCGCATAAGATTTAGAGCGGCTTATACCTGTTGGAATACCTAGCTCCTTAGAGCCACGACCAAATCCACGAACGATTTCACCGCTGACATAGATAGGCAACTTATGTATCATATTTGTTAGTTGATGTTACTGGGGAAGTACTTCGGTTTGTGGTTTTATGAAATGCGCCTTATTGTATTTCCAGATTTGGCCTTGAGTGCGTTTTCTGAAACAATTTGCCAATTAAGTATTATTATGGGAGAGTGCTATAATTACAACACCACTCACAAAACTGTTGAACTTGCCATTGCTGCTCGGATTATAAGCGAAACCGTGAGGTCCCAATCAGCTGTTAACATGGCTGCAACTGCTGACAATCGAAATCGGAATCCGAACCTCTTATCGAAATATGGTACATAAAAGGTTTTGTGTTTATGCGAATGCACATATACACAAATTTTCTAAGATAAGAAATTTAATTTGTTGTAGTTTTTTAATCAAATACTCATATGATATTAAACCGAAATCAGAAATGGACAAACTTTGCCGTGTCTGCATGGACGATTCCGTTACATTGGTGGACATATTTAACGAACGGCAACAACCATCTACAGAGCAGCCGAGCCTGTGTGAAATTTTAAATGAATTTTGTGAGGTAAAACAGGATGATATCCTACCACAGCAGATATGTTTATCCTGTGTGTTGGCGGCACAAAACGCATATAAATTCAAACGCACATTCGAGGAGACTGAGCGGAAACTGTTACTGCTGCAAAATATTAAAATTTGTGAGGAAGACAATACTGCATTACCCTGCGTGCAGGCAATCTACGATAAGGATCGACAAGCGGTCAATTTGAGCTGTGTTAAGCTGGAGCCACTCAATGAAGATGAAGTCGCTGCCCAGGACGACGAGCCAGAAGAGGATGATGAAAACGAAGAGCCAGGCGAAAACGAAATTGAATACGGAAGGCCATACAAATGTCAATTCTGCGAGAAAAGCTTTGGCCGGAATTATCTTTTGAGCGTGCACGAGATGTGAGTGACTGGCAGCTAACTAGTTGCAGACAAAGCTAATCTTCAGTTTCTTATATGCTAACCAGGCGCCACACTGGCGAAAAAATACATTTCTGTGACATTTGTGGTAAAGGTTTCATCCGAAGACACGATGTAAAGGTTCACATTCGTACCCATACTGGCGAACGACCGTTTCAGTGTCCTCAATGCCCGAGAACCTTTATACAGAACCACGTTCTGAAGGCACATCTTCGTCAACATCCCACTTTAAATTTTCACTGTGATCACTGTATGAAAGGATTTAGGCTGCGCTCCCAGCTAACCACTCACCTATCTCGGGTGCACGAAACAATGAATAATCCAGTCAAGAAGCCTGGCACTAGTCAAATTAAGAAAGAGAAAACCAAAACTAGGGTGGGGAAAAAATTGGAAAAAAATGAGAGAAAGAAAAAAAATGAAAGCAGTATTAATGCTCTGGAGCGTGGACTACGAAATGGATTAGCTCCAGTCGCTTATGAAGAGCTGGACGTAAAATGCGAATTAGACGACTTGGAAACAAAGCTAAGCGTCGAGCTAAATTCCTTGAACATAAAATGTGAATCAGTAGACTCGAAGACGAAAAGATACAAACAAGTGCAATCCAAAAAAAAAGTACTGCCCAAAAATTGTTCTCCACTTATGAAGGGGACTTCCAAAGTTATTAACAACATTCAGTAAGTAATTTTGTAAATGTTTTAAAACGAATTATGTTTATGTGTTTCAAAATTTGTAGACGGAATGGCAAAGCCAATAAATTTTTCTGTGAGACTTGTGGGAAGGGCTTCGTCCGTAGATGTGCATTGCTAGTACACAATCGGGTTCACACAGGAGAGCGCCCATACAAATGCCAATATTGTGGATATGCATTTACCCAAGCACAGGCCCTAAAAAGACACGTGAATAGAATTCATAAAAATAGTGTTCAGGATGTGCTGGTACCAACGACCAAGCGAGCGATCGTTCGAATAGCGCGTATTCATTTACCTCCAAGTGCCACGACTGTTAAGAGTGAGGACTGACCAAATGCTATTGATTAGCAATGTTCCAGCTGTGTTTAATTATTTATTGCATTTGTTTTTATGATTTTTGTTTTATGTTAATTTATTATTTGAACTGAATTAGGCAATGACTTACTAAAAAAAATAGATGTAGATATTATTTAAATCATCAAAAGCAAGTATCATTTAAAACAACTATGATACCTAAGATAATTTAAATTACATATTTTAAAATAATTTTTTTATACCAATTGAGTAATAAATACCAGTTTTAAAAACTTTGCTATATTTTGCTTACATGTATGGTAATTGTCTATACAATTAATAATAAAACAGTTTCAACGATTATTTTTTAAATAATTCGATAACAATAACAACATCAACAGGTGGTTGTTTCAGTTGCGGAAATCGAAGTTGATTTCCCTCGCATGAATCGTTCTCATTTCCAGTCACGAAAATTTCAATTTATCGATATTAAAATATAGTGGATGGGTTGAAACATTATCCACCTCTAGCCGTGATTATCTAAACATTTTTTATGTTAAAATGAATATTAACGTTAGAATTCTAACTAAAAGTGTGGCACAGCAATATGCATTCAAGCGAATTGGTGAGTACCTACGATAATTTATTGCTAAATGCAAGTATTGACAAACTACAATTTCAGTCACATTTTCCACTAAACCGACACAGCAGGCTGCAGCGGCCGCAGTGCCGCAACAGCAAGAAGTGACGGGTCCGACAGTACGCAAACCCATTGTGCCGGCACACTATCGTTTTGTCTATCCCGAGTTTCTGCCAGATCCCAAAGTTGAATGGCGCAATGCAGTTCGCGAAAAACTAGAGCGTCTTGACATGCTCGATCGTCGCCGTCAAATTGAGCTGCCTGAGTTTTATGTGGGATCCATTCTTGCTGTTACTAGCTCCGATCCCCATGCGGCTGGCAAGACAAGTCGCTTTGTGGGCATTTGCATACATCGTGAACGCTGTGGACTGCGCGCACGCTTTATTCTTCGTAACGTAATCGACCATCAGGGCATAGAGGTGGTCTATGAACTGTATGATCCGACCATACAGAAAGTCGAGGTTTTGCGTCTAGAGAAACGTCTCGACGACAGTCTGTTCTATTTGCGTGATGCGTTGCCTGAGTTTAGCACATTTGATGAAAACATGGAAGCGGAACCTCTGGAGGAAGGTGCTCCAGTGCCTATCAACGATATTAAAGTAGTTTTGCGGCCACGACCGTGGTTAGAGCGATGGGAACGACAAAATCTGCTTGGCGTGGCAAACATTGAACAATATATAAAGGACAAGCATCGCAAGTCAGCCGAAAAAGTACAGAAGCCATGGGAAAAATACGACTTGATGAAGCAATACCGAGCTACAATACCAGAGGAGGAGCAAAAGGAGATTTTCGCTGAGGTTCACACCGAATTGCACACCTTGGAGCTGCAGCGCAAACGTAACAAAAGGAAGCGTACCTTTGTCAAACCCAAACACCTGGCATAGTTCATCCAAAGTACTGCATTTGTTATTCTACCTTTTAGTTCAATAGAACCTAAAACAAACGAAAAAAATGAGAAGACAATTGGCATTTTTTAAGATGGAAAGTTGAACTTTTATGCATATATATATATATTAATATGGATTATGCTACAGTAGTTAGTATTAGTTAGTCATTATTGTAGGGGAGCGCCTAGCAGTTAAAAGCAAAATAATTTACAATCCACGTTGCTAAATCGATCAATACACGCGATATTTGTAAAAATTTACAAACGAAATCGTTGCATTCCAGCCAATGATTGTGACTACAATATACAGGAGAAAGATAATGGGCAGTGCGATCAGTATGAGGCGCGTATTCTTTAAATGTGGAATACCTGAAAGAGTAAGAATATCATTAGTTGAGATATATCTGCTGTTATTTATACTCACAGTTGTAGCCCAGAAAAGTGATGTAAACGTAGTAGCTCATACCCATTAGCCAGAATGAGTTGCCCAGGAATCGAGATATGAACCATGTCTGGCTGATCAACCAATTGTAAAAGAACAACTGAATGAAATGCAACAGCATTAAGGGTGGAAAGAAGGCATTTAGATGGACATCGAACGCATATCCCCATTCTATGTCTGGCTCCAGATTATTGGTGCGCAAGAAGCGATTTGTAACCAACCAGAAGAATGACGCAATTATGATGCCAACAAATATGCAATCAACGAAAACCACGTAGAATATGAAGGAAATACTTTGCCAAATGGACAGGCCAAGTACATATGCAAAGCCCAAGGAGGTTACTGAAATCAAAATAGAGATATTCTATTAAGCTTTCAGATTTTTGTACGTGATTCCCATTTCGAGCCACTTACCACAGAGACAAATAACCAACAGCACTAGAAATGCAGGATCATCGCGGGCGAATTGAGATTTGGTTTGCTTCCTGTAGTTGAAATTTCTATAGACCTTTTGGGGCGCTATAAATAAATATATCATCTGCCAAAATGCAAATTCAAAATCCATTTGATTGAATTTGAGTAAACGCCGTAGATATTTGTAGCTTTTTGATGTCGCCGAGAGGCAATCTTTGCGATATCCAACTGGCGGGGGCAGCGGCGAATGTAGTCGGGATGCGCTCGAATAGCCAGACACCACGGATGGCGTTGGAGATGTTGTGTACTTAACGTTACTATATTGGCTCATTTTCCGTGTTATTAAAAACTAAATATGTAAACGTAGTCTTGCATTTTTGTCTGCAAGAACAGCTGAGTGGTTTTCTAGAGATGAAAAATAAATTTATCGAATTAAGATAATATCGGACTTTCTGACAATTTATAATATCGATAGTTAGAATGATAAACTTATTAATACGAACAGTGTGACCGAAGCTATTAATAAAACCCGCCAAAACATATTTAATTTTGAAATTAAATGTTCTAATATGTTGCCACATATGCATTTAACTTTGATATTTTAGCTGCTAAACTTTCAAGGTTGGATAAATTAATAACTAATATAATTTTTGTTAAATCATATTAATAAAATTAGTGTTATTTCAGTCAATACATTATATTTTTATCATTATATGATTTGACATTAAAAAGTATGGGAATTTTGTTGACCAGTTAGATTTCTATTGATTACAAATTGAATTATAAGTAGCAGCAAAAGCTGTATATTTGAATCTTTTAGTAAAATCAAAGTATTATCACAGTATTATCATTAATTTGCTAAAATAATTTTTTAAAGCGACTATGAAAATACTTTCTGTACCCATACCAATAGTTTAAATGTGCAGGACGCCAAGAAACAACATACAAAAAGAAACTCCTCTTGAAAACACGCGCTAAACTCCCACAATTTCTGCGATAGTTCAATAGAAATATAAAGTTTCAGCTGCCACAATTAAGGTATCATTGAAGGCATTTTTCAACGCTATGCGACATCAAGGGGTCGCCTAACGGCCAACGGTCAACCGATCGGCCAGCCGGCTACGGGCAATTTATGGCAGGGAGTCTGAGCAATTGCAGAAGGCAAGTAAAATCAAGAAAAAAAAAAAAAAAAAACAAACAATAAGCAATCTTTATCACATTTATTGCAATGCCCTTTGGCATTGACAACAGGCCAGGATCACAACGCAAGCGTAAGACAAAGGCGAGCGGGTGCCAAGGGAAAACGTAGACAGAGAATCAGAAAAGGTCAAACAATGACCGGCGCATGCACAAAAGGAGCAGCATGCGCGCGCGCGCTTCATKCGGACACATTTTGAGGTCGTCTTAGAGGTCAACTTTGGACTTACTTACGCATGTTGCAGACACAAGAGTTCCATACTCAAACTCGAACTCCATTCAACTCCCCGCTGCTGCTGCATGTATTGAGTTTTCACTCGAAACAGGGGTTGAGATTTTCGATGAGGCATTAAATCTCTCAGTTAACTCTCCATCTCTCACTCTCTCTCTCTCTCTCACTCTCTCTCTCTCTCACTCTCTCTCTCTCTCTTTTCAATTTGAGTTCAGTTCCTCAGATTTCCACTTGGGCGATCTATCTATGTCCATGCAGCATAGGACATTTCCGGATTGCATTCAATTGTCATATTGCAACAATTGCGCTTTTTATTCCAAATGTTTGTTTTTTTCGGATTGCTTGTCACCTTTTCTTTCGGGCAATGGTTATTGGTTTTTTAGATCATGTTACGTTTTTATATTTGATCAGTAAATACAGCGATCGATGTCAAGACAAGACAAATGGCCAAATTTGCCAGGCATTGAACGCAGCTCCCTTAATGCAACGGCAGCCGTCTTGTCTTGGCGCCCATAAAAATTAAACGAAAATTAAGCGTAAACACGAGAATTCTGTCACATAAATCCCCCCGGGCAGATCACAGCTTCGCTCTGCACCTTGCCTCCAACTATTTTTAGTCCTTGTCGTAGACTTGGGAGCATGAGCTGCTGCAGCTGTTTACTCGTTCGCTTCCTCGCTTACACACACACACACACACACACACACACACACACACATTCATATATACAAGCATCTGCTGACTGCAGTTGAGTTATGCGCCGCTGAGGCCGCTACTTGATTAACACATGTCCTGCCGGCCATGCGGGCGTATCCCTGACACGCAATTTCTCAAGCGTCACAAGGGGCAGAGCTGCTGCCGCAGTAGTCGCCGTAGTCGAAGCTATATGTTAATGTTTAGTTTGTTGATGCTCTTAACTCATTCATTATGAATTGGAGGTGTTAAGTGTGCCACATGTGTGTGGCAGCCGCAGCACCAGTTGATTCCATGTACAAACTGAAGCAATGCCAAAGTTTTACTTTTGGATTCTTTATTGGATTCCTTATATTGTATATTGAGTGCATAAATATTTGAGTGAGTTTCTGTTGAATATGCTGTGATATTAATATACTGCTAGTCTATATCATAGGCTAATATTAATGGTAGTATTTATACTACTAATCATTACAAAATTTTAAATTACTATTTAACCTAGTTTAAAGTTCACGAATGAATTCAATTCATATTTATTAAATGTTAATTATATTTT